CTGGTTGAAACAAGGCGGCGGTGCTACCAGAAGCTTTGAACTGCTCAACGATTCCTTTCCGTTACTGACTTGTTAAAATAAGATTGGGAACGATTCTCCGAGAAAAAAAACCCTTCCAGCACAAGTGCACAGGTTGCCACTGAGCTAGGTCGGGCGCTTTTTCGGCACTTGTTAAAAATTTATTTTTTTGGAGCGTGCGTCCTGCTAACTTCTGCGAAAATCGTCCATACACTAACGTCCCAGTTACTCATCTGGGGACCAGCTGAGCGTGAGCTTAACGCATTCAATCAAAATCTCGTGGGCCTATTTCGTATTAGGGCGAGTTTATCGCAAGCTTCAAAAATAGTACGGTTGTTCGGCGAGCGCTCATCTGATTTCAGAACTGAGAGATGACCAGGAATCAGTCTCGTGGCTCGGTGCAGTCCCGCCAGCTAATAAAAGAAATCACTGTACCAGAACAGAGAAGATGGCAGATGAGAGACTAACGACACAGAACGCGACAGGAACAACGTCCCTCATTTTCTGCCCTCAGATTTATCCACCCTTATGAATTGCCCACCTTTCTCACCGAGAAAAACCGATTGAAAAAAGACACTAGGCCTTTGCCTCCCTTACATACGCGCCATTCAAGGTTTAGCCAGCTCAAGGCCATCCCGATACAGATTAGGCGCTATTATCTCGAAGAGAGGATGTTTAAAGATTCACTTATGCAGACCTACCACTACTATTCAGAATAGCTGTTTTGTTATGATAATAGCTGTAAACCAATCTTCAAAAACTTGTAAAGCATTGCGGTTCATTGCCGATATCTTACGATTACGCTAGACGGGCTCGATCAAGATTAAGCGTGTGAATGTGCTGATATAAGGCTAGCGGCCCACAAAAGCCGTATAAAGCTGAAAGAGTAAAGGCGGTCCTGGCGGTGGCGTAACGAATAAGCCGCATTCGCCCTGGAAAAGCGTGGAGCATTGTGGGTTTCTAGACTTCCACCTGGGTTACGACTTTTCTCATAACTCAGAATTCTCTTGAGCATAATCAGCCCGCGGATAAGCCCCTTACCAGCCTTGTTCGCTTAGGATGTATCAGAGGGCTGCACTTGGCGAAGGCACCAGTCCGATTGCTCCACCAATTGCAGATACGACGGGCAAACCGATAGTAAATTGGTGGCAAAAGAAGGCGCCTGCGCACCGGAATCATCCCCCCTGTACATGGCTCCAGCGTCCACCCAAGAAGACTCATGGATCCCTGGAGTTGATCGTATTTGGCACGAGAATTCTCAAATGCTCCCTTTCAAGGGTATTAGCATCGCAGAATGTGTCCAATGTTAGCGACCTGACGATGATGTCCCATCGCATGAATTAACAACCTTATAGCTAATGAGCAGGCCACTGTGGCAGAAAAATAATTGAACATTCTACCACTTCGATGTTTGACGTCGCTCAAGGCGCCTCTTCTACGTTGCCGTCGCAACCATCGTCTGCACACTGCTCGATTTCCGAGATTCCAAATCCAGTAACCTTGATCGCATTAGCCCATTTGCCACACCGTGCATATGCCACAATGGGATTCCTGAAACGATCTCTATAGAGTTAGGTTTCAAAGAGGTAAACGATAATTTCTTTCAAAAACAAATTTTGCAGTTCTCTCGCTTTTTTACGTCGTCGAAATATCGGCACTGATTTTAGTTCTGTGCCAAAAGGTTTTTAGACAGTGAAGATCCTCAAAACTCTCGTGTTCTAAGAGAGTTTGCAATCTTCAGAGACTACCGCCCACCTAGCGTTGGCCCTGCGTCGTCGCCGGGCCCGCTGATTCAGGGATCTGGACGTAAATCCGCATTCGTTTTGCTGACACTAGAAAGGAAGCGCAAGGCAAAAGAACTAGTTAGCCGTGTGCAGAGACCACCTGTCAGCAATTTACTTAGGTGTGCCCTAAGCAAGCTCGAACCCAGTCGGTACAGACCAAAAGCCACTGACCTCCTCATATTTGTTCGCCCTTCGTCTCCACCGGAAGAGAAGATGTGGAGTGGCATGTGGTCATCTGTTTACCACGTGCATGTGACAGGGTTTCTGTGAGTACTACTTGCGTCAGTCACCCTTACTTCCTTCAGGGTTGGCAAACCTGCACCCTCGTTTGGGAGGTTAAATCATTGACTAACACATAGGTTGGCAACGGTAACTCATTGCTTACGTTGAATCGATTTCAAATGGTTCTAAGACAGCCCCGATCAACTATCAGAGGAAGGCCCCACCAATTAGGAGGCGAATAGCCCACCAGAAATAGGGGAAATCAACGACCAAAAAATTGCCCCATATCGCTATATGCTACCCCTGCCCCCTCAACAGCAACCAGATAAGATAACTTGTCAAGAGTGGCTTCACGCACGATTGACTCTCTACGAGTACATATGGCCTATAAGGGAGCGCAGTTGATAACGTCGTGATCGGTCGGCACAGCCTCCAATACGGATAGAATAACCCACCCATGGCGTTTCCTCCACTTGCTTCCTTCCCAAATCGACCATAAACCGGTCACCATTGGTAGAGCAAGGCAGCTGGAGGCGGGCTGATTCCGCCCTCTTAACACCGCCCAACGTGATTGCGACGTTATCAGCTATAGATACATAAAATATTGCATCTATGATCGTATTGCGTGCCAGCCTATCCTTTATCCTTTGAAGGAATTCAGACTCAAACCTCTAAAGAGCCAGAGCTGACCCCCAATCCTCCAATGGACCAGCCTTTTCAGATTTCGTGCATTGCACGGCACATTAACGCGGTGTAAACTAGCCAAGTGAAAAATGATAAGTTCATCTATCTAATGCCCATTTAAACGAGGGTAGTCCCTTCTGGGTATGATCGGAAAAACGACCAGAGAGAAGAGGTTGCTATCACCCTAGAATTCACCAAAGTATGGCTAGCAATAGGCGCGTAAGATAGTGTGGTTTTTAACTGCCCTCTTGGGTACTGCACGGCTTAAATGTAGACAATAAAGTTGTTGGTTCCCTGGCTTCTGATTCGCCGTAAGATTCTATGCCACTCGTGCTATTTCAACTTAATTAACTCACAGCGCTAGCCTAGTACTCTCTAAGCGAATAAGATATCTTCACAATAAATTATTACTGGATGAAGCTGATAGGTCTTTGAAGCTTATTCTTTCAGAGGTATTCTGAGGAGAAATCTTTCTCTCCTGTAATTTCACTTCATTCAGATGTATTTGTTTGGCAGTAGAGTGACGTCAGGTTTGTAGTATTTCAATGAATTGTATGCTCGGCAGCCGACTCACACAATGGCTATGTGGAAGAGAAAAACAAATTAGGAATGGTCGTCGTGGAATGGGAGAGTTTCTGAAGGAATAATTTGTAAATATTCATTTAATATGTTCAGAAATAAACAGTTGGGTAGATTGAGTGATGAGGTATGAAAGAGGCTAGTTCAGTGAAATCCCTTGGTAAGGGCAGGATAGAAAGGGTTTGGGTGGGTTTTCATCACTGAGAGGCAGACTAGGACTTCTTGTGGACCTTCGCTTCTCAAACAGAGGAACAGCACAAAGGTAGTCGACGACAAGACACCAACGCGTTGTGTCAATTTTCGCCAAATACGACCCCCTCCCAGGAAAGAATGTTCCCTCTTCGCTGCGGCCCCTTATAGGACCCTACGGCGCTGTTTGTCGACGGCGGGGGGCATTTCGTACCATCATTGCTTCCCTAGATGAGTCGAAACATCTATGGAAAGCCAGAATTGCCACCCCCCCCTCCCCTCACCGGTCGACAAACAGCGCCGGACCCTACTTTCCCTCTCATTTTAGTGTTCTCAAAAACTTGGGTTCGAGCGGAAGGGAAGGAGGGGAGGGGTGTCGATGACCAACTGTCAAAGATGGTAGTTCTGACCGTCGGCTAGGCAACTAATTTGCTCCCGTGAAACGGCAAAAACCAGCAGTCAGTAAATTGTTCTCAAATGGCAGAACACGAGCCCTTTCCCCAGAGCATCCCTGTTGGGTTACGTGACAACAAGAACTTTCAGTGAAGGTCCTGACGCGAAACGATAAAGCGCTGAGAAATAGAGAGCTGCCGAGATTTCGAAAGCAGCAAGAAACACTGTCGCGAGCCAGGGGAATTTTTTCCTCACAATTAAAGAACTCCGGGGATGAAGAGCCTTTAATTATGCACGGAAAATTAGAATGTATTGTGGTCACAGTGATCATACAGAAGTTATGCGCACATGAGAGGGCAGAGAAAAGCAGAAAGTTGACGCGTTTTGAGGGACTAAGTTCATCTTATTCCTAGAGCACTCTGGTGTATCTTATGCAAGAATGGTGTGCCCTGGTTTGGAGAGAAGGGACGCGGCGATGCGTGTGCCGGCTGCTCGTCAGCACCCTCTCGCCGAGGCAGTGCCCGAATTGCTCTAAAGTGGTTTCCGGGAAGTCGACTGTGAAGTGGGTATGACGGTTTTCCCGCTGTAAAGGGTTTGAAAGACGTGGCAGCATAGTGGCAGAACAAGGCAGGACATGATCGGGGTATAGATCGCGCCGGTGCACGTTGGCTTCCGTTCACCTCACCATCAGCGAATGATCATCATTGGAATAGGTCTTTTATAAGCCTTTTCTATGAAAATACAGTATTCAATGATTCTGGACTTTACTCTTCAAATGACGTGGTTTTACACAAAAAAAGGGGGGAATAGGGATCTTCAACACAAAAAGGAGGGGGGGGATGGATTGGGACCAGAATCGGAGCAGTTTTCACGATATCGTTGAGCTTTAGCATTAGCATCAATACTTTCTCTAACTTCACTCGAGCCTTGCTGAACCCGTAAGCGTCTTCTGATTTCTTCTTTTTTACTTTATAAATAATCAATTTCTAAACTGTCAGTCACATTAGATTATTTTTCGTTATTTGAGCAAAATTATTTTCCGTTATATAAGCAGGACTAAGGTAGCCTGGAGGAGATAGTGCAGTTCTTAATGAGCTGCATAGACTGTGACTCTGTGAAATTGAGATAGAACTATAAAGGGCACGAACCTGACTGCCAGCTCAATAACCTCCAAACGATCGTTGGTACGTAAAATAATAAAGCTTCCAAGGCCAATACAAATGGTACCCATTGATAATACCTTAATTAGCTGCTGTTATATCCTTGGCTCCATGAGCAAGAGGCTGTTTCAAGTGCAATAGAACGAACCCGATTTGTCGATTTTCTCGTTCCGCGTAATTGTGCGGAATGTAGTCGTGTAATGGTAAAAAGTACGTATTTTGTACCCAACAGTAGTTTTCCGTGTATTGCTCCATGGGTTCGGTGAACGTTGCCGGTACCCAGCATTGTATCGGAAATCCTAAAATATTACAATTCAAGGTGGGCGCTGGTTCACGGATCCGGATTGCGGTGACGCGCATAGTCTAGCACGGCGTACGGTATTCCAGGCCAGTTGAGTCGGGTTACGGTCGCATCTCCCCGTGGAAGTGACTAGGCACTGGCGCACATTTCGCGCCGGCTGCGCGTCTTGCAAAACCGCTTTTATTGTGCAGCCACAACTCAGAAACTGGAGAAATGCGAAATTTCAGTTTTAAAATCAGACATGAAAGGCGTACTAACGCTGGCGCCATTTTTCAAAGGGATTGATTTCAGCCTTTTGAAAAAAATGCTCAAGTGCAGCATAAAAAAGTTAATGGGCGGCATCAATTTCAATTGTAACAATTCAGAGATGGGTTATCAGTACCGAAAAACAACTAAGACTGGAAGAATTTGTGATCTTTCTATTCAAACTGTGAATAAGCTTACTAAAAATTCCCCTTTTGGGGTTCCATTTTTTTCAGGATGGTTCAGAAATGAGAGAACATCTTGAAGCCAAGCCTACTAGAGGTAAACCGAAAGAAGTGAATTTTGACAAATCAAATTTGAAGCCCTGGAAGGAGGTGCCCATTATACCACAAGAACATCGTAAAATGAACTCAAAAGCTTCTACCAGTCGAATAATCAGCTCAAGATGAATTCGCTAGGGTAGGTGGGCACTTAAAGGACTCCTTAGGTAGAACTGGGACCATCCTAACGCGACAACAGCTTCCGTCGTGTTACGGTAATCCTGCGGCTCTCCGTACAGAGGGAACGGTTCACTCACCTCGGACCACTTCCACCCCTAGGCTTAAAAAACCCTTACCCTCACCACAACAATCCCAATCATGCAGGAGGCCTCCTTCAAATGCCCCCTTCTACTGCTCCCTATCTTTCAGCTTGCTCCCTAGTTCTTTGGTATTTACAAGATCATTGAACAGTCTCATGAACAGCAGCAAATAACGCCGGCCACTCTCCTTTGAACGTCTTGAATTTTCATTGAATAGTTTAATAATGTAAGAAGTAATTCAATGTGTTACTCACCAACATACTGCTTGGCTGAGACGAGTATGGCAAACACTGAAATATGTAATCAATAATTGATTTCGTCAAGCACTCATGTGGAAACGGCGGTGAGGGCCGTCTACAAGTACTCATCAAATATTTCCTTCTTTTGCTAAGAAAACTCTCCATTATGAAAAGTGCAGTAAAATAGCACGCTTACGAAATTACTGTTTCTTTTTGATTTGTTACAGCATTGCTGCATTGAATTCGGCTTTTGAGTCCGAAATCCTGAATGCCAAGGGGCATAGAAAAGCGTTTATGTCCATTTCAACCACTGCATTCAACAAATGCGCTAGGCTGCACGAATGACAATTGACTTTTTTTCCGGGACTTAGCCAGTTGTCAGAAAAGAAAGCCACGAAATTGACGTGTTACATGTTGAAAATGTACACTTACTGAACATACTCAACCAAACTAACTTACGAAGCCGAACAATAGGCGTTTATTATGCGGCATACCTAATTTTCTATGCAAGCACTTCTCTCGGAATAAATGAGCCTCGGAAATATTCCTAGAATTGGCAACCCGAACAGAATGGGCTGAGTAGAGCTTGCGGGCGTCTGAGATCTGTTGTCCAACGTCTTTGGAAGGAATCACCAGGGAATCGCAAACTCAGGAATTGGAAGTGAAACGGAGAGTCCCAAAAAAGAAGTAACGGATAAGGTGGAATAGGCTGTTTATACCCATCAGAGTACGCCACACTTCCACTTTCGCTCGAAATCGTGATGATGTTTGAATGTGTGACCTCCACAGCTTGTCCTTTGCAATGGGCGGTAATGGAAGCAGTAGTTGTAACCACTCGGATAGGCTTTGTTGAAATTGAGTATCTCTTGTTTCATTCGAGCCTTCGAGGAACTGACTAGGTTGCGTATGCGGCTATTCATGCCTTCTAGTACCTCTAAAGCGGAAGGGGCGCGCGGCCAGAGCACGTCGTAAGTTGGGGATCCCCAGCAAGGGGGTCGTATTTGGGTCGCCTGGATGGAGGGGTTGTTTGTGCCTTGGGAAAAAATCTTTTCGGTTGCTGACTCTTCTCGATTTTTCCTGCTACAAACGCCCTTTATAGCTCCACATCCCTTGCCCTCCCCCACTCCTTGTTCCCCCAAATCGACGGCAGTTTTTGGAAAGAAAAAGTGAAAGTGGGGAAATCTTTCGAAAAAACGCCGGAAAAGTGGTAGTAAGTCGGGAAAAATTAGAGTATGGTATAGGTAGGATGGAGGAGGAGGGAGAGGAGTCGGCAGGACGTTTTGAGAGGGGTATGAGGGTGGCATTTTGCAAAATTCTTCGCTAAGGGCACGACATGCTCTGGAACTTGCTCCAACGCGCGAACAATCCCTGGGTGCTGCAGCGGTTTGGCCAGAAAAAAAGGAAAAAAAGCAGACGGAGGTACAGTAACCCCTATCAACTACATATTCTCACTTTTTACTGGACAACGAGCAAAACACTGCTTTCTTTTTTTCCACTACAAAGAGGTATGCGGAGAATGGCATAGTCCTTCATATAAGCGCTGTTACCACTTACCACATTACAACATAAGTAAATGTTAATGTTAAAAGGGTTACTCATGGAAAAGTGCAAGGGCCAAATCACTTTAAGTTTTTCCTTAAAGTAGATTGTGAATGAGGTGATTTGGGGGTTTTTCAGTCGTCGTTGCTGTGTGAAAAGTAAAGCGGCATGTACTTGGTGTATTCGAGAAAGGGCTCATTGAGCATATTGAGACCAGATGTCCGTGAAAGAGTAAACTTTGTCCAGCCGTGAGCTATTTTATTCGGGAGACGAACAACGAGAAGTGGAATGATTAGTGTGATTCCGCGATTCTCTAGAGGATTCCAAGTCGAATGCTGGGTGAGTGCCATCCAGAACAGCTGAATTCTTCAAGTTTTACGACACATTTCAATCAAATACGTCTCTTTTCACTTTGCACAGATATGTGAGTAGAGACAGGCTATGAGTGATGTGGTGTCCCTCTCTTTGTGTGAGTGAAATGAACTGAAAAGACTGGTCTCATTTGCTTTGAGGTCCCGTTTCTTCACGCCTCATTGCCATAAATCATAATTTGGCTTGACAAGACTTTTTTTCATAGTATGCAGCATCTTAGATGAGGTTCCAGGCATCATTTTTCATCAGTCTCCTTATGACTTTTTTCCCTTTATAAACCCATCGAACTGACAAACACACACGCATACGCATTGCTCTTGACCTTTAATTAGCAAGTAATCGAGCCAGGCAGTTTGCCCCAGGGCGCTGGGATTCGATATCCCTAATCTTAAGCTATCCAAATAAGAGCTGCATGATTTGATCATTGTGCCAAACTGGCCCAGATTCTTCCTTTTCTTAATTGCACCTCACAATACAACCTCGATTGGTAGGGTGGACAGCCCCACAGGGCATCTGAACCTGAGCACGTCCTTGGGGAATCCCCAGCGATAAGGGGAGGGGAGTGTAGTATATGGCCGCTAGAGGGAGGGAAGGGGTGGGGGTGGCAATTGGTGTGAGAAAAGTTCTATGATGGAATTTTTTTGCTTCACGGGCCTTAGTTACTTCGTTGGGAGAATTCCAGTGGAAGGGGGCGTATTTGCTCATCGTTGGAAGAGGGGCGCACTCGTTCAGGAAAGAAATTTGCCGCACTGGGAGCAGTTGAAGCCAGTAGCTGGAAAGAGAGAGGGGGGGGGGTTGAACAGAGGACGACATTAGAGATGAAAGCGGGTCGTATTTTCAACAATTCTCCCTAGCGGCAGTAGATGCCCTGATCTGAACCCTGGTTTGCCTTCTGATGAGCTGTATCGGCTCTACTTCCTGGCGAAAGTAGTTCTTGTCGGGCTTGTCCGGATTCTTGGCGATGAAATAAAGTGTACTTGTTGGGTATCACGAGACCGAAAGAAATCGCGCTCTAATAACCCAGCTAGTGTGTCGCTGACGAATTCAATACGGCAACGACAATGGCGAGAGGGAGAGAGAACCCTGAGAATGGAAGCGGAAACGGAGTGGGATACCGTTGTTGCAGTTCAAATGAGGAGGGACTTGACGAGGTAATTCAATTCACATGTCGCGATTCTTCGTTTCAAAGTGCGCCCGTGCTCGTAATTGTTCGAGTCCGGACTGATTTGGTTATGGCTGGAGCTTCCACATTCGACAATTGTGCACGCCAAAATGTAGTTAAACGTAGCCCTTCACCAGGTTTCCGATGGCTGTCAGGCAAGGGTTTAGACAGGATGTGTCCAAGACTATGGCAATCGCTCAGCTGCGCAGAAGAACTTATTCCTCGTGGAATTCTCTAGCCATGTCTCATGAGCGGAAGAGTGTGAACTTAATTTTCCAGAGTTACTTTGCTACGCTTCACATGAAATTTCCTCTCTATATCCGCAACAGGAAGACAATAGTTAGGCTTGGAAAGTAGAAATTCAATCAGAGCACGCCACACATTGAGGATTCCTTAACGCGAGGGAGGGGATCGTATTTAGCTGCAAAGGAGGGTGGTCGTATGTGGCCCGCTAGAAATTTTATTGATCGGTGGTTTTCATTTTCTGGTTCACGCTTCAAAGACAGTCCTCGCTCTCAAGCATTTCGTAGGCGTCCTTCCGGGCGGTCTGGCCCTTAGTCTCCAAAGGTTTCCCTCTTCCGCGGCTTTACAGAAAGTAACGAACGTGGCAATTCTGACGCCTTCCTAGTTGTCCCGCCCACCAAAATTCAAAGGCTTTCTGTCACGGGTTAACTTTTTAACCACATTTTCCTTTTTTTATCTGGTGCTAGCATTGGATGACGTGAGGGAACGATTAGTAAGCCAGATGGCAGGATTCACCTTTGCTGGCATAAAACCAGCAGCTTCGCATCATCCAGAGAGGTTTACCAGGTCCTTATTTAGGGTGATCTCCATGACTTCTCAGCTTTTGTCTCCCCTAGTGAGTCACAGCGACTATAGGTTCCTAATTGAGCCCTCACCATCCACATATGGTGCAATTATGGGGTTTCTCTTCAAGCTATATACCTCCAACGCACTATTTCTGATAGTTGATAGGAGGCCTGTTCTTCACTTCCCCCCTACCACTTGTGACGGTTTCGTGGAAAAGTGGCCCATTCGCAGTATTGAGGAAATTATCCCCAGCACCACTTCGTGCTCCGTGGTTGGACATTCACGCTTTTCCTGCCCCCATTACCTACAATTTTTATTTGAATCATTATGGCGAAATTACATCAACAAATTAGCACTGAAGGCTATAATTCATGGCTATGCGTAAAAAAACAAAATCACGCTGTAGGAATATATCAAAGAAAAGTTGCAATTACATTCTAATTCCTGAGTAAAATTTACCGGTAATGATGGCTGTTGTATAGTAGTAATTGAGCTTGTCGATGATGTCATCGTCCACATGGAACTGTATCGACTTGACGGCGCTCGCGAAATAGTACAGTAACATCGCCACCGCTCACACCATACCCAGTCCGACGACGAGCCACAACCGCTGGAAGTCGTCGAATTGAAGTGAACGTCTGGGAAAGAGGTGGGGGGGGGGGGAAATCACTTTAAGGCAACGAATAGAAACGCTTTGTGAACGCCAAACGGCGACGACGTCTGTCTGTCACACACGAGAATTGCAATAATGAAATCGACTGAGTGAGTCGCATCGAGTACATTTCAAGTACAAAATAAGTTGCATGAAAGAAGTGGAGAATATCAAAGGACTTTTAAGCCCCTTGTCGAAGTACTAGCCTTGAAAGAAATCAAAATGACGTCACTAAAATGAATTTCAATCATTTTCAATGCAAATGAATTAATGACGAGGTTGTGAGAAGAAATGTGGGAAATATATGTGGTCCTTAGGAAGAAACGGATTTTACTGGAGAAAAGCTTTTCCGGAGCGAGAGGAATAGGTAAGGATGAAGCTGTTACAGCTGTACTAGTTCAGCTCATGATTGCATCTTAGAGATTATGGCTGGCGTTAATTACAGCAGCTGATTTTGACTGCAGAGCCCTGATTTTCGCCATTAGTCGGGGTAATCAAAGGTGAGAACATAATGAAAAGGCTAGAAAAGAGAATAAGACAAGAAAAGCCGAGGATATTTTTGGCCCAGGATAACGGTCATGACGTTGGATGCTTCTTGCCAGATTACGTCCAACGTTTCTGGGCGAAATTTAAGTGGGCACTTTGGCTGAGGAAAGTAAAGCTGGCATAATGTAGGACGAGTGTCGGAAAGTTTCGGACGAGTAGGCGAGAAAGTGGAGGTGGACGAGCCAAGTAGCAGGAAGTGTAGAGAGCTGAAGATGGAGGAGGTGGGTTTGAAGGGTTCGGCCACAATTCAGGTCTAGCTAGTCTCGATGGGGCGCGGCGCGATCGATTGCTAGCTGGAGGCAATGCACACGTGCCGAAGTCGGGCGGGCCCTGGCCCGCCTAGGGACATTGCTGCCTGGTGGTTCCCACCTGTCCATTACCTGAGTCCATGACATACCTCATTTATCACTAGTGCCACCCCAAATTGTCAAAGCCACTAGTCGTAACCAATAACATAACCCTTTAACGACGCTATTGCCGTTCACGAACTTCACCGCTCTAATTGAAGGACTTCAGATAACTTCGACTCTTTGACTTCTAACTGCAATGACTCTATTTTTACAGGAGTAGCTCCTTTTGACGTTACTAAATGAAGTAAAAGGTCCCCCATGTTTTGAGTTGAGGTACAGAGGTACTCTATACGGAAGAACAATGGAACCAACTTGCGCTCGACTTCCTTCAGAAAACCAAAGAATGCCTGAAATCTTCAAGTTCACAGAGCCCATTGAATATATCCCCCGTAACCTTCTTTTACCCCAGGCCACAAAACACATGTGCAGAAAATATGGATTCAAGCGTTAACAATAAATCATTATTCAAAGCACCTATAACCGTGATGAAGAAGAAGGTGATGAAGAAGAAGAAGAGGAGCAGAAAGCTTCAAGTTTACACTCAATGTCAGCCTCGCCTTCGGAGACGTTCTGAAAACGGATCGCATTTCACCGATTTCATGACATCGTAATAATTTAAACACATTGCACAGCGATACTGACTCCAGTAATAACTTCATGGGAGCTTACTAACTGGCACTGTTAAATTGGATGAGAAGATTATAGCAAGTTTAATTCATCTGAGAACTGCCATAATAATGTCGCGATATTTGAAGAAAATCAGCTGAAAACTAAGATTTTGCGATGTCGAAATATTTTTAGCTTCAAAATATATCACTAATGGGCGATGCCCGGCAGCTGACCATTCCAAAAAACACTGTTGAGAAGGCAGCTATTAAATTTTATTGCGTAATATCTCTTTACAATTAGGCCCAAAATATCATCAGCATACAAGAAATCAAATCTTCTGCATCATCCGATACTCCTATAATTTTTCGAGGCTTTTCAAAAAGACAAAGAATGTCAGCGGTCCGTGGCATGATTTTTCCCATGTCTCCAATTCCATAAATCTAGAATTCCATGAAATACCTCCCAGATCGTACAGAGCTAATCTAGGCGCGGTTGGCATTGGGGGGGGGGAGGAGGGGGCATTTTGCACTCTTGCTACTTCCCTTCGTCGGATCAGCTATCACGTGGAGACTTGTGATAACTTTTTATACAGTGAATTGGGGAATTGGTACCAGTTGAAGTTTGCAGCTACTACTTAACAAATCTTGTAAAGCAATGAATGCGAGGAAGGCAAAGAGTCCCCACGGCGCAGTTTGGCAGGGGGGGGGGTGCGCTTTTGCTACATCCCATCGTGTCGACCCTATCTGGACACTCTCTTCGATGGCTCAACGACCTTGCTGCAGCTTCCCAAGTATTCACAGGTTTCAGCTGACTGAGACTTGTAAACCGGAACTAGGGAGCCATAGCTATGAAATGCCTCCTCCTTCGCTGTCCGAAGGCCAGCCTCACCTCCCACCCCCCCCCCCAAGTCGATCTGCTCCTGCCGTCAGTGTGATACAGATGAACACCACACGAGAGTGACCAAATGAAGGCGCTATGCTAACTCCGGCGAGCGTTATAGGTTCTAGGGTAGGATTTGCGGGAGGGGAGGAGAAGGTTTTCGAAAGAGTCAGTCCACTTGACAGATTGTCGCAGGCGTGCATCTGATGATAAAGGATGCAATCACGGATCAGTGTAACCTGCGTCGTTTGAGCATGAGTGCGAGTGCTGTGCTGCAAAAAGTGACCTCACACATGCCACTCGGGGTCTCTGTCCGTCCATCCACTGAAGCATGACACACCTGTTCGTTTAACTTGACGCTACGGACAAATGCCGGTGCAAGTGGTTAGGAAAGTGACACACAGTGGCATGGAAAAAGTGCGGTAGATGCAGTTGAGAAGTGCGTTCTCCTTCGAGTTCGTGCTCACTTAAATACCAAAACACTTTAAGCAAAGCTGCTTCCACATAGCGCTGCACCCTATAAACGTGTGAATGTGAAAAATGATTATGTTGTAGCACTTATGCTACTGGGACACAGGCTGTACTATAAAAATTGCCTCAGTACAACAATAAATCGTTGGTTCAATTGAGACGACATCGAACTATTGGACCCAGCGCTCAGGACGATCACCATCCAGGTGTTATGGATCAAATTTTCAGCTCTTAAAAACGAAAGAGCTTATGTTATTGTCGAACCACTTTAGGCGAAGCCACGCAACCTACTTTTGCTCAGAATTACAAGGAAGATGTGGCAACGAAGAACCGAACCCAATTCTCCTAAAATGTCCTCTGCAAACAAGGCTTTACTTGCCTTCGATAAGGACAAGTTGTCCAGCTGTTGCTGGAACTGGGGTCCTGTAGTCTACGTGTCAAGTCCGACAGTAAGCAGTTTAGCTCTATTGGGATACAAGTTATACTAATGTAAAGGTTTTGGTCCATCATAGAGAGGGACCTCACAATCGGAGAGGAACTGTGGTCAGAGCTTATTATGTGAACCCCGTCAGGGTCGTACTCGGCAGCTGTGGGAAGGGGGTCCCTTTTAGTGTTCGTAGATTGGTTTTCGTTGATTTTCCCAAATTTTGGAGCGCTATATGCACCCCCACCCCCATGTCGACTCGTCCTATGGAAGAACTAGATCAAAATTCCTACATAGTATCCGCTCCTTCTTACCTCTCTTTCTCTCTCCGCTCGTCAGGACCAAAGTTCCGTCCCAGGATGCTTGTCAACCGCGAAGCCTCTCTTGTCCTTCCTTTGTTCTTCCTTCCTTCCTTCTTTTCCTTCCTTTCTTCCCTCTCTCTACCCTGTTCCTTTTCCTTCTCCCCTTCAGCTACTGGGACAGTACGTAGATGCGATGAGAAAATGGCTCTGGACCCTCACAATGTCTTGTTGAGACAAGCCCTGTAACCCTAACTTCTAGAGAAAATTTTGAAGAAGGCAAATCTGTCCTGGGTCGCTGTACCACTGCGTCTGGTTGACACAAGCCTT